CCCTTGAGGAAGAGGTAAGCGGTCACGATCGTGATGGTGACGATGATGAGTTGGATGATGACGTTAGTGACGCTACCCTTACAAAAATAATCAGTACCCAAACAGTCCCCAAGCAGGGACCATTCAGTCCCCACGAGCGTACTGTTTGGGCACTAGTCCGGGCGCATGGGGACTGGTCTCAAACACGCCCAAAAGTGACGAAAAAACACCCTCCGTGTGCCCTGGTCCCGTCCCCTAGTGTAAGGGGACTAGTGCGCAAACAGTGACCGTGCGCCGAGCCGAGCGTACTAAAAGCGTACTAGTCCCTGTCGTGTTCCGATGGTTCGGGGATGCTGATGACAAGTGCTCGTAGGTTTAGCTTCAACTGGTTTATTGGCACGATAGGCACAGGTATATATAGGCAACAGTTTACAGGTTTGCAGGGTAGCCAACATGGCATGACCAATACATGACACCTCCCCCAAAAAATGAATTAAAAAATATCATTTATTATTACGAGGACAGTAAGTTGAGCTTTCGACATAACAAGTTCTGTAACGTTTGACGTTGACATGAACACGAGCAATTGAACTTTTTTGATTGGCTCTCAAAGTAAGTTGGTTGAAGTTTAAAATAACTATAATACATCACAGATAAGTTTTTGCTAATTAAACTGATGATACAAATCCAACAAGAAAGAATAAGTAAATGAATGAATGAAAGCTTTGAATATGGATTACAAATAGCAAGTAGAATTATTTCTGGAACGTTAGACGTCACCATGAATGTTGTGAGCAATTTCATTAGCAAAATTAAAACATAGCTGAAATATGAATAGATCACAGTTGGTTAATGAGAAGTAATGTAAATACAAGAATAAATAAAAGCCAAAGCTTTAAAACAGTTAGACGATTAGGTATGCTAAAAGCAACAGAGGTTACTTCGGTGAAGAAGAGCTAGTTGCACAAAAAATATTTTAATACCTTATTTACCCTCGGAAATGATTGTAGAATTTATCTACCAATAAGAGGATGTGACGTGACTTGTAAAGTGCAAACAAATTTACAGTGAATGACTTCTCTAAAGATTAAATTGAAATTGACTTTGAAGTCTTGCAGCGTTAGATCCCACTCGGAAAAGTTTCCTCATGAGCCCCAAGCATTTTGATACCCTATGATGAGAATCTAAATGAATGGTCGACGTTTGCCGAATTAAGGATTGGAATCAGAGACACAGCCTACTTAACACTAAATACAGAGCAAGAACAATGACATAGAATTTTCATGAATGCAATAACAAACTAATGGAACTGCAACTTGAACTCAAAAGATAGAATTAGCAAAACAAACAAAATATGCAAGAGGATGAGCATAAGACACAGCAGGTCTGCAGGAAGAAATCAAATAATCACATGATTTCAATGTTAGCTACAGTAAAGTTTGGTGAAAGAGTTCATACATGAAATAAATAGTTCTTCTCCAACGTAAATCAGGTTACTCTATGTACCACCATCGTACAAGAGTAGGACGGAGCTGTCACTAGCCTTCAGCGAGTCTCCAGGCAAGGTGTTAGTAGCCGCACCAGCAACATGCTGAATTGCACATTGGCAAGGATGAGACATACTGTATTTAGTCCAAATGTCAGTTGGGGGCAACGACGGATCAAGGTTTTGGACACGTAGAAACATTTTTTGCAATGCACAACACTGGCCGACTGGCGACTCCTCACTGGTGCAGGAGTTGCATACCTCATGGAAACGTCAGGGTCTTGGTTTGCTCTGGATATGAGCTGTCCCCGAGGTTCTTGGGCGGGACAATGACTTCGATAGGCACAGGTATATATAGGCAACAGTTTACAGGTTTGCAGGGTAGCCAACATGGCATGACCAATACATGACAGTCCCCTTTTGCCTGAAACAAAAATTAAATCGGCGCGAGGACTCTTTGCGTACTAGTCCCATTTCCGTCTGCGCGCTCGGTCGTATTCGTTCCCTTGTCCTCTGGTTCCTCGGATTCCTTGCCGGTGATGTCGACGCCTTAGACCGCTGAGCCAACCTGTAACATGGGGATGGAGCGCAACCGACAGCCTCCTCTTTCGAGACACAGCCGACGCAGTCCTTGCGCCTGCTCGTGTGGGCGAACGGCTGCGCGCAGAAGAACGCAGTTTTCGACTCTAGCTTCAGGGCACTGCAGCGCTTTTGCCCCTTATGCTGAAATATATATTTGTCTAGAAGCTCACCTCACTACTATCTCGCCAAATAGGTAACCATTATTCCTCTGGCGGGTCCATGTGCATGCGTTTAAATTAATGTTTGTCAGCAGTCTTCAAAGAGTAGCGACACTTTTTGCACTCTCGGCAATTCCAGATAGGGGTGTCCCTCAGTGACGGCATTTGTGAGCGACTGAGAGGTGTTACGTATTGTTCCAATACGTCCCTAGAAGCGTCTTGCAAAGACACGTCTAGTCGTCTAGTCATGTACTTCAACAACCCGTAGCACCTCTCAGTCGCTCACAAATGTCGTCTGACGGACGTTTTATACCATTTTTTCTGGAATTGCCCCACTATAATCTCATGGACCCCGCGTAAATTAATCCTCAGTTGTTAAGCGAGTTGCGATATTATTCGGTCTTTGCCGAATGTGTTCGAAGGTTCTTTCGAGTCCCTTCGCCGCCTATATTATTAGTCTTGCATAGTGACTGTTTGAGCGCGAGTCCCTCGGTACGGGTACTGTCTGAGCCCTAGTCCCGCGGCACGCGCACTGCCTGAGCCCTAGTCCCGCAGCGCGCGTACTCTTTTGAGTCCTAGGCCCCTCCTGTGAGTATCAAAAGCGCCCTAGTCCCGTGCGACGCGTCCTCTTTGCGCCCTAGTCCCCTCCGATGAGTACTAAACGCGCCCTAGTGCGCGCGGGACGGTCACTCTTTGGGGACTAGTGCGCTCGGGAAGGGTACCGCGTGGGTCCTAGGGCGCTGATCAAGCGTACAATAACGCGCACTGGTCTCGTCTGGGAGACCGCCAAAGCGCACTAGTCCCACAGCTCAACGGACCTCGCAGCGCACTAGTCTCACAGCGAACGTACTGAATGGGTCCTGTTTGGGGACTGAATGAGACCGTTTGGGGACTGTTTGGGTACTGATTATTTTCGTAAGGGTAGTATCATTCGTCTCGACTATGTTTAAACAGCTATCCTGTGGCAGAAAAAGTAATGAACTAAGGAATGCAATAATAAATTGATAATCGGGAGAAACGAAGTGCTACTTGATTTACCTTATCGTCGCAGATTGTCGATTTTTCTGTTGTTGACGGAGTTACAAGAAGAATCAGCAGTCTAAGGACCTCAAGCACGCCGCCCACCTAGGGAGGGAAGTCCAGATGTACACACTAAAATCTTATGAACATTTTTGTTCATAGTTACTGATTTCTGTAAACATGCTCGGCTTACGCATTTTTTAATGCGCCAGTATGAAGAAATCTGTGCATACTGGCGTATTAAAAAATGCGTAAGCCGAGCATGTTTACAGAAATCAGTTACTATGAACAAAAAAGTTCATAAGATTTTAGTGTGTAGGGGCAAGGCATAGGCGTATATGTGGATGAGAGAGTGAGTGAGAGCGACAGAGAAGGAAAGGGGGGAGAGCCTACTCACCAGCGCCATCCAACCCTGCACTTTGCAACAGGTGGGCAGGGTACAGCAGCAGCAGCCTTGTTCCACGGTAGGCAGCAGGGAGGTCACCTTCTTTGGGAGCGCCGGGGAGCTGTGGACCGGCGGCGCGCCCACGGGGCCCGCTTCCAGGGCTGCCCCATTTCTGAGTCACGAGAAACATTTGTATAATGTTACAATTTTCGGGCCCGTCCGCGTCCGACTTACAGTGTTCCGGTCTAAATCTGTGATTTTGACGAAAAGCGGTGAAAGTAAAGGTTACCAGTCAGTCCCAGCGAGCAATGCTCAATTAAGGCACACCAAGTTACGTTCAATTTTCATGCAGAAAGTCCTAGTTTTCACGGCAATTTGACCAATTCTCGCTAATTTCATGTAATTTTGATTGATGTTGCTCGCTAGAAGTACAGAGTGACTCCCGGTGCCCCAGCCTCGCACCGCCCGCACTCGCGTCGCACTCACAGGGCATATTCGATCCATTTTTGAAGACACACTGCGTGGGTCGCGCCGGATAGCCCTGGCTGGCGCCAGCGTGGCGCGCATTTCTACACCGTCCCTACACTCCCTTCCCCGCCCGCGACAGGGGCGGCGGACTGCGCAGGCCCAGGTCCCAGCTTAGGCCCACTGGCACGGGGGGTGGGGCCGGGGTGGGGCGGGCGGGGGCTGCAGTGCTGCAGTAGCTCGCAGCTCCCAACCCTGAAGGGGGAGGGGTTGGGGGCTGGATTGTCCATCCATTCCCTGGATCTCAGAAGAGTGACGAAATTAGAAGCATTGGTTGTGTTCCAGTTCCAATCGAACACACCGATAATCGGAGTGCATGCACTGCGTCCGATTGCGTCGCTCTTTTGGGAGCGACGTGCGTAACTCCTGTATTTACAGTGCCCAATGCAATTTGCAGATAATCCGAGAACTTATTCTTGATTCAATAAACATTCTTTTCGGGTGGTGCTATGGGAGCCGTCACCCGCTGCTATGACATCCTGGCCTCGGGGGCTGGCAATGCTCACCTGTTCATCATGGCGTGCGGCCTGGCAGAGCTCTGCAAAATCGCTGTGTGAGACCGACCACCGACCGCGCCAGACCGACTCGGTCTGCGCAGACCGCAGGGTTTTGGTGTGGGAGAGGGGGTGCTCGTTGGGTTGCCTACGTTCGAGGCGGCAGCGTCGGCAATCGGCACATCGCCACGCTCCGCCACTTCCCCGCACAGATGCGCAACGCTCTGCCACGCCCCAAAACGTCTCTCGCACCGCGGTCTGCACAGACCGGGCCTCGGTCGGCCTGAGAGATGCAGACCGACCGAGCCACGCGGCCTGTGTGCAGAGGCGCAGGCCGCGGAGCGGTCTCCGACGGTCGGTCACATACAGCGATTTTGCAGAGCTCTGCGGCCTGGTTATCTTTGCTCGCCTCCCCCGCGGTGGCTCGCGGTGCGTCGGCTGCTCGTGCTCGCGCTGCGTCCAGTGCGTGCTCACTGGCTGCCCCGGGCCCCGCAGAAGAAGCCGCCGAGGGAGGGGCTGCGCCGTTGCGCCTCCCTCGAGGTCCAGACAC